GTGAGACAAACAATATGTTCCTAGTGATGAAAATAATTTTTTTGAGCACTATCTTATAGTTAAGCAAAAGTTTTGAAGTAAATTTTGATGAACTAACAAATTTAATGGTGATACCTTGACCATTACTTATATGCACCTTATAATTTCCTAAACAAAGAACAAAATTATGCAGAACATAGTCAAGAAAGGTTAAATGATGGAATGCACCTGAATTAGCAAACCATGCCTAACACTCCAACTCACATGGCAATAAGAACTCCTCGATATCGGGAAGTTGATCTTTTGTGGCAATCATTGTAGTTGATTAAGTTACCTTCTTATAATTTTCTCTAATGAGTCAACATGAGCTTGAGAGCTTGCATTTCTTTGAGTAATATCAATACTAGTAGAAGACATACAAATATTCATCATGCATTTGCCAACAATCAACAATTGCATGGTCATATTTGCCACAAAGTTGATAAGTAGGTATGGAGCTCAAAGAGCCATCTTTGGAATGGCCTCGACCACGATGAATGCACACACAACTATAAAAAAGGTATTATTGTGATTGAATATTGATTCTTGATGTACAATATTTGTATAGACTTTAGAGACATAAAATTCTTGTTAACCTCTTAAAATTTTTGAACATAACGAATGAACTTAAAATAAATCTCTATTTCATTATTAACTAGTTGATTACAATCTTAGACCGTTTAAGCTCAAAAAGAATCTTCAATTTTCTAAATTACATTTAATTTTAAAATATAAAATTTATATATTTATTTTAGTAGTTTATTAATTAAAAATTCACATAATGAAAAAATAAAATGTATCAAATTTTTTATTAAAAAAAGAACTAAAATATATCAAATTTGAATCCATATTTTTAGACATCTAAAACATGTCTCCATGTGTTTCTGAAATTGACTGGGGACCGTGTCTCCTTGTCTTAGACTCTGAGTTCATGTCCTTCTCCAACTCTCTCTCTCTTCACACACTGTAACTGACAGATTCATTCTAATTCTATATTATTCCAATTGGAATTTCGAACCGCGCAGTCATTTTCTCTCTTCGGACAAAGCAAAGCCATTTCAATCTTCCATTCCATTGGTTCTTTTTCTCTACTGTACCTTCCTATTCTGCCGGCTATGGTCGGCTATTCGCATTCACATTCCACTCTCTCTTCTCATCCTTCTTTCTATATCTTTTCCATACTCATAACCTTTTCAAGATCAACAAAAGTCCGTTAATATGGGCTGTGTTCAAGCCAAACCATCAGGAGAATCTGATGAAGGTGCTTCAGATTACAGAGGACTAAACAGGTTCAAAATGGAAAATGGGTATGTTCCAAGTTCTGATTTTGTTGCTCACAGAAGATCCACTGGTCAGAGTCAAAAACATGTTGTTGACCAGACTAAGAACCCTGATCATCGTGTCTATGAGAAACAACCCAGAAAGCATAAAGTAGTTGTTGATTCTAGTGTTGCTGGTAAGGGAAAGAGAAATGGTGAATTGAAAGATAGTAAGAAGCAGTTGAACAAGTGTTTTGAAGATGAGATGGTTGATGGATGGCCTAAATGGTTAGTTGATAATGTTCCTTCTCATGGGTTGGCTGGTTTGGTTCCAAAGAGTGCTGAATCTTACAAAATGATTGATAAGGTCAGTTGCTCTTTCATCATATCTAAATTATGTTTTAAGTTTAAAATGGATTAAGCAGAGGATTTATGATGAAGGGTTGTGGAAATTTCAGTACAAAAACTTTGATTTTTTATTGAATTTAGCAGATAATTTTATTGTTCATGTAATGCACAAGCCTTGTTAGAAACCAAACTATAGGTTGGTCTGTTGGTGAAGACTTGGGTCCTAAGAGTGTGTTCCTCTCAAGGTTTTCGAATTCCGCTGGGTGCTAACAATTCCTGTGTTGGGACAGTTCATACAAAGTTTTGCTCTGACTTTAAATGAGTCCTGCAAGTGGATGTTGGGATTGATCGTCTTGGATTAGTCGGTCACAAAGTCGGATACCAGATTATAGTTGACTTGGCTTATGTTATTTACATTTTGCAGGTAGGGCAAGGAACATACAGCAATGTTTATAAAGCTCTAGATCGAGACACGGGCGATATCGTGGCACTAAAAAAGGTCCGCTTCAATACGTCGGAGCCTGAAAGCATTAAATTTATGGCAAGAGAAATTGCGATATTGCAGAGATTGGATCATCCCAATATAGTGAAACTTAAAGGGTTAGCCACTTCAAGAATGCAGTACAGTATATATCTAGTTTTTGATTTCATGCCAACAGATTTATCAAGAATTATTTCTCGACCCGATGAGAGACTAACCGAACCACAGGTTAGAAAATTTAATTTGTTTCCTTGAACATTTTATAGTATTTTGATTCATTTATTCTCGCTTAATAATCTTAAAAGTTAATGTAGGTCAAGTGCTATATGCATCAATTGCTTTCAGGTCTTCAGCATTGTCATGATAGAGGAATTCTGCATCGAGATATAAAGGGGTCGAATCTTTTGATAGATAAAACGGGGATGCTTCAGATTGCAGATTTTGGACTTGCTAATTATTATAGTACAAATCAAGACCAGCCTCTCACAAACCGGGTTGTGACACTATGGTACCGAGCTCCTGAGTTGTTGTTAGGCTCCACGGATTATGGAGTCGGTATTGATCTATGGAGTGCTGGTTGTCTCCTTGCAGAAATGTTTAGAGGGATTCCAATCATGCCTGGAAGAACTGAGGTAACTAATAATTATGCAAATCTATTTTATATCCGCACTTAGAATTTGGACTTTAGGCCTAACTCAATCTTAAAACCTAGCTCGATAGGTGACAAATTTGCGAGATGTTGTCTGCGTATATCTGCTAATCACGAACTTTCCTTGCTTCCAGGTTGAGCAACTTCATAGAATTTTCAGGCTATGCGGCACACCGTCACAAGAGTATTGGAAAAAGTTGAAACTTTCTACAACTTTTATACCTACGAAGTCTTATAGACCAAGTCTGGTAGAATCTTTCAAGGATCTTCCCCCATCATCTTTAGGTCTCTTATGCACACTTCTTGCTTTAGATCCTGCATTTCGCGGCAGTGCTTCTAAAGCTCTTAAAAATCAGGTAACAAAGACAACAATTGCTTCTCCTTACTTCAGCGCAGTTCGAATCCTAAACCATCCCTACATATATGTATTTAACTCTTGTTTCGTGAAATGAGTTTACAATAATTTTTGTGCAGTTTTTCTTTACAAGCCCATTGGCTTGTGATCTATCTGCTCTCCCTGCAATCTACAAAGGTGACGATGAACATATTCAAGCCAAAGAACAGATCAAGTAAGTTAACCTTTAGCTATAAATGTTTCGTACTAGCAGCGATCTCTTATTGTTTTGCTATTATTTACAGGTATATGAACTCTAAAATCAGGCGTTCTCGTACATATATGGAGCGTCGCAAGAATTTAGCATCTAATAGGCCAATAGAACAGACCGTATCCTCTAAAGAGGCGAGTATTAAACCTTAACATCATGTGACTAATGAAACTAATTTTTTATTTTATTTCGCAAATGATGCTATAAGAGTATGGTTATTATTTCAGGTATTGAGAAGTACTATTGAAGCTGAAACTTATGTTCCAAGTGAAGAACCAGGTAGTGCAACAAGTAGTACTTCATCTAGTGTAAACCGAGCTGGCATTGGGGACCATTCACCTCTCTTTCTCTCTCCATTTATGGCTTCTGATCAAAAGATGTCCCACAAAATCCATAGTCATGCTAATATTGGTGGAAAAAACACCAAGAACCTTCCTCCATTATCCAAGTCAAAACCAAATGCAACCAAGAAAGATGATAGCAGATACAGATCAGACCAGATTTTCAGGTCCACTTCCACCAGAGAATTTAGAAAGTTAAAAACAGATCAACATTTACTCTTTGATTAGGAATCCGCAATTTTGTATACCGAAAAAAAATCGATTATTTTTATTATTTCATTTGATTTGATGTATTTTGAAAGTTCATCTACATATTCTATATTACAATTGATTATTTTCTGCTTAGGTACCAATAATCAATGTATTTATTTACTTATACATGTCATTGTTAAGGCTAAGATATTTTAATTGTTCATGTCATACATTATTATGTGAAGTTAGTTAAGTTGTCACTTTCTATGATAGCCTTTTGTCAAAATCTCTAATTCCTACTTGTTTGTTTTATTCTTTTGGCTTTTCTAAGTTTCATAATCAGATGATAGAGTCCTGCCATAATTTCTTTTGGATTAAGTTATGCAGAACAAAGAGATAATGATGAATAAGGAACTATTAAGTGATATTGGGATAACCACCAGCCTTGGTACCATCTGTTAAAAAATGAAACTCTAATGGTTAAATCCAAATACAAAATTCTAAACCGTAACTGTGACACAGAGTCGTCTTTGAGGGTGTGGGTGTGCAAGGCAGACTAATGCATAAGATTCAAATTTTTTCATGGTTAAATCGTACTATAGAGTTCATAATATACTTTTCACAATTAAACCGTAGTTAAATAAAATCCATATTAAATTTTTCATAGTTGAACCGTAGATAACCTACACATAATCTCAAAAAACTTAAGACGGCTTTGCGTGATAGATTCACGCTGGTTGGACAAACAATTTTATAAAACACTTATATAGTATAAAAGCTTATCATACAAGAGTTTATGCGTAAGTTATTTTTATAACAAAAGATAAAATAAAGTCAAATTATTTGCATAAAAATTATAAGTTGCTTTCATCAATTCTTAGAAACATTTTAAATACCTGCTTGCTTGATACAAAGCATTCTAATTTGCACACTTTTAATGACATTTTAATTACATACAATATATTTCAAACATAGCATGTCCCCTAATTCATTTTTCATGCAAAACATCTTATCTTACAAACACATCTCAGAAATATTTTCCTCTTTAGTTTGCTTCAATTTCTTACCTTGAAAGCTAAGATTACTGAACATGTGATTCAAAACAATTCACACGCCGTAGCGAACATCGCTGAACTTGTTCTTGATCCACTTGAAACTGTTTCTTACACTACTTTTAAGCTTTCCTTCCACTGCCAACACATTATAGGACTTGATCCTCTTCTTTCTCTTAATCTCTGAGTCATTTGATGCAGAAAAACTACTTCCTTTGTCACTTGGTCCATTGAAGTTATAAGAATTGGACCTTTCTCTGAATCCAAATTCAGTATAAGAACAAGAGTATTCAGGATATGACTTGCTTTTCTCCATGAACAAACCTTCTCTTTTTCTCTCTCTTTCACTGCATGAAACAAGAATTTGTATTACATGAATAGAAAATGAGAGAAGCTAGTGTTGAGATTTTAATAAGGGAAGATTTAAGTCATGCTCAAGTGTGGTGGCACCCCATGTGTGATGTTGGAACATAGCTGCCTCTTAATGAATTTTATAGAATCATGAGGGTCATTAGTAGTGTGGGAAGTGGGACACACTTTTAGAGGTTTTGGTTGGAGATGCCACTATCTAGTAGTGATGATACAATGTGAATTCTCATGGCAATTGATTGGGACCTACCCTTTTTAGTGGGGGACAAAGTTGGCTACTTTATTTAGTTTGACACTCAAGAGATAAGCCACTAATCTTTGATAGGCTAAATAAATGTGATCTTCGACAAAAGACTAGATAGAAATCCTCGAGTTAAAAAACGTATAGAACAAATAGACCTTATTTTAACTAAAACAGACGATTTTGTCTCTAGCTCATCAATCACCGTCTGATTCAATTAGACGATTGTCTGCACAACACGCTGCACCACTCGTGAATGGTTTCAACCGATCTTGATATATAAGGATAAATCACATCATTAAAAAAAATCATTCTCAATGTCATTACTTTTCATTTTTCTCACTTCATCGCGGTGAGACACAACTACACCACCTCATATTCATTTCTAATTCTTAATTGAATAAAATATTTTAAAAATCAGATCGAATCGGTCGGATCAAATTGTTGTTATGCCAGACCCAACCCTTTTGCATGATTTGCTGGCTATGATTCATTGACATTTATTTATGTTGTTTGATCATGGGGGAACTTCTAGTGTCCCAACCATTTTGCTATATGAAATGAAAATTGGAGTCATCTTCCACCAAATGTCAAAATCAGTGGCTTAGTGCTCTGTGGGCCTTAGACTCTCATGCATGTCACATATTGAAAAAAGATCACCTTGATTCTTGATTTTGCTTTGAGACAAATTATGTAATGCAATTATGATCTGCCAAACTTTGATTTATCACATTCATATCTGTATCATTAGTAGTGCAAATGGGACAAAACCACTTGTGTTACACGTTTTGTGACCAAATTTTTTATGAAAAACTTTAAATTCATATCTTTGAAAATTTTATTTAACATAATATATATTTTGAATTATATTGCATGATTGAGGGTGTCATCAAGTTGTGCTGTCACATATCTAAATGATCAGATCTTAACTTTCATTGATGAAAATACAAAGAGAAGATAGAGTTTGTATTTGACATTGTTTCGATATGTAGTGATTACAAAAACTAGAAAACGAAAATTTGAGTTTTGGGTACATGTAGACCCCATGTTTGGTTGTATGAGGTACAAATTCAAGTGGATTATAAAAGCTTTGGTTCTTTTTATCGTACAGATTCGAATAAAGAAAAATGCAAATTGAAAAGAAAGCTCTATAAATCTATAATAAAAAAAAACCAAGATGGATCGTACTCTTATTCTTAACATAGTCAGGATTCTTCAAGAACAAGCATCATATAAATATATTATTTAAATTTTTAACACATCAATATGTGTAAATTCATATCATTAGCTAGTTTTTATGTATTTTATTGACATTCAAATACAAGAATATATCCTCATATTTGATTATTTTTCTATACATATTTTAGTCATGGATCGAATTCTAGACTAAACGAGCACATAACTCTAACATCTAACATTTGTGTCACTTCAGATTAATACTACTATTATATTTATCATTAATAACATTAAAAATTACTTAAATAAATATATTACACAGATGCGAAACATCGTTTATGTATATTTAATTGTGTAAAAATTTTAACATTAGATAATATATGACTTGAATATGTATTTATACGTTTATACGTGGGATAATTCTCATTTTATAAGACAGATTTGTATAGTTGAGTTAAACCTAATCACATTTCTTAACATGATATCAAAAATTCCATTTAAGATCTGGTGAGCCACCTACTATTAGTTTTCAACTATCGGACCACTTGCCATTTATTTTCATGCTTTAAATGCTCAGTTTTCGACATGATAAGGTGTGTTAAGAGTTTCACATCAGATAATATATAACATAAACATGTACTTATAAGTGGGGACAATCCTCACCCTACAAATCAATTTTGTACGGTTAAGTTAGACTCAATTGCATTTCTTACCATCGTATCAAGAGTTTCGTTTAAAGATTCGGTAGGCCACTTGCTATCAAGTTTTCACTATCTGACCACCCACCATTTATTTCCACGCTCCAGATGTCCAGTCCTAGGCATGAGGGGTGTGTTAGGAACCTCACATCAGATAATATATGACCTAAATATTTTCTTATTATGGATCTATGTGCTTGCAAATATAAAGTTGACAATCTTGCAAAAGATACTCTCTAATGTTTTGATGACGACAACGTCAACAGTTCTGATGAAGTTAATGACAACAACTTTCAACTCTCTGATGATGGTGGCTCAGTTAGAGAAATATCTTAATAGCCTCATAGTAATGCAAGAGAGGAAATGTGAAAGCTTTCCAAGTCTTATCTTTCTGAGTGACATAGTCGTGTAAAAATAAGGAAGTAACTCATAAGTTATAAGGCAACACGCGCGCGCGCGCTCACACACAAATACATATTTTTTTCTAACTGTTTTACACCTCAAAATATTTTCAATCCTAAGCTAGTTGATTAGGATACTACCATCCAACTTTTTAAAGCATTTTGAACTAAACAATAGATTGAGATCTTAAGCCAATCGATTGGAAGACATTTTTGAACTACACAATCAATTAGGACCTTAAGCCAATTGATTAGAAGATTTTTTTTAACTATCAAATCGATTTGGTACTTATGAGAATCGATTGGTAAGACCCAAACGATTAATAATCAATTAGGATAATGCCCTAATGACTGACAATAATTCCTTATAGAAACTTTCTAAAATGGGCCAAGATAATCGGTTATTTGAGTCACCCAATCGATTGGGACCTTAAAAATGTTTATGGATCGTTTCCTTTTTTGATTTTTTTAACTCTTATAAAAAGAAGGTTTGTTTCCTCTTTATTTCACGCCACTTTCCAGAGTTTTACATTTTCTTTGTAATTTATCTATTTATCTCTCTATTTCACTCTTTCTCTTTCTAAAAGTATTTCTTTGTCACTTAAGTTGCCTTAGTGCTTTTGGATGGAATTATACTTGTGAGGAATATTTTGTAAGTGGTCGGGTTGGTCGTTTAATTCTTGAGAGTGTGATACTCTTGAGAGATTGAGTTTGGTTCTTAAGATAAACATGCCATAAAATCTCCGTTTTGGTTTCTTGAGCTTCACCGAAAAAGCTTTATTTGGTTATTGAGATAAACCTTAAAATATTAAGAAGGGTCGTTAACTTATCTTGTGGCAAAATTATCTTTGGTTGGGGATAAACCTGTAAAAATGTCAAGATCAAACTGTATAAAGGTTCGTGGGTATAATCTTCAAAAGCTCAAAGTTTATAGTGAAACTCTCAAGAAGATCTCTTGGAGACAAGATTGGGCCAATGTTCGACCAAACCTGTATAATCTCTGGTGCAATCTCTCTAACCATATCCTCTTTTATTTCCGTTATTTATTTTTGTTGTCTTATTTCCACTGCTATTTACTCTTACGAATCTACTAACACAATTTTAAGTTTAATTATAAAAGTAATCGTGAATTTTAAATACCACAATTCACCCTCCTCTTTTTGTGTTTGAAGTAACTTGTCTAACACTTATAAGTGGGGAAAATTCTCACCCTACAAGCCGGTTTTGTAGGATTGAGTTATGACCAACCACATTTTTGAATATTTTATCAAGAGTCTCATTTAAGATCTGTTGGGCCAACTGCTACCAGGTCTTTGATATTGGAGGCACTCACCATTTATTTCTATACTCTACATATCAAACAATGAGTGTCAAATGATGTGTCAAGAGTTCCACATCAGATAATATACAGTATGAATATATTTTTATAAGTGAAAACAATCATCATCCTACAAATCGATTTTATAGGATTAAGTTTGTCTCACGCCTATTTTAAACAAACTGCACAAAAAAAAATAAAATGAATAACTATGACCATTGTATTAATGCTATTGTAACATATAATACAATAATGAGAAAAATAAATAAATTGAAAGATTCTATTACAGTTTTTTATATAACATTATCTTATGAAAACCTTTTAACCAACTCTATAAAAAATTGGAGAATAAAACTAACTATCCATTACAAAATATAATAATGGCTAGTTTTATAAGGAGGTAAGATAAATTCATAATAAATATTCTAATACTCCTGTCAAATGAAGTCGTATATAACCAAGCTCAACACGAATCGTTGAAATTGCATTATAGGCAAAGTCTTGGTTAATGGATCGCCTAATTGATGCTTTGATGAAACATGATTGATTCAACTCAATTAATCTAAATCACATGCTTACTTATGAAGAGATAATCAATGTCTATATACTTTGATCTTTCACGAATTGTTGAGTTGGAAGTTAGATAAATTATTGAAATGTTGTCCCAAAAACCATAAGATACGGTAATGTAATTTCAAAAGAATGTAAAAGTTGTGTTAACCATAATAACTCAAAGGTAAGAGAATAAAGGGTCCGATACTCAATCTCTATTAAAGAATTAGGTTGTTTTTTTACCTTCGAGAAATTACGAGTTACATTTCGACATAATAAATATATGATGTATTTGACTCTGTCGAGTACAGTTGACTCATTATCTCGACTAACTACTTCGACAAAACATCGAATTACTACTTCTAACACACCCTCTAATTCATGTTCTTGAGACTTCTCATCCCATTACTTCTCTTCAACTCGTCGAACCTGACTTTTTTCAGGGGTTTGGTGAGTATGTCGGCTAGTTTCCATTTTGTCTTGCAATGCTCAAGTTCAAACTTTCCTTTGTTAACTAGATCCCTAGGAAAATGACACATCCTTTCTATGTGTTTACTTTAA